CTTCATCCACGGGCTAGCAGGGAGAGGTCAGACAATTACCGAGTTATAATAAGAGAAAAACGCACCTGGGCCTTAGCCTTGCCTTTTCCCTTACTCTTTTTCGTGATCTCAACCACGGGTCTCCGCGGCGAGACTGACGCCTCACTTGGGGAGGTCCCCCTCTGACTCCGAGCTGTCGCCGCTGCGGCCAACAGCCTCCTCCTCTCAGCTACCTCCTCCTCTTGTTGTTGGGCTCGACGAGCCCGCTCTCGCGCCTCCTGCGCTGCCTTCTCCCTCGCCGCCGCCGCTCTGGCAGCTTTTTCTTCTGCGGCCTTCCTCGCCGCCGCCGCCGCCTTCCTGGCCTTCATCCGACGGACCTTCTCCTCTGCCCGCCGGATCGCCTCATCATCGTCTTCCTCCACTTCTTCGTCGTCGTCTTCTCGAGGCTCCTCGGGGACGGTGAGATCGATGGGCGGCGGAGGAGCAGGCCGTGACCTCGAGGGTCCGGCGGTCGGAGATTTTTGAGTGGTGGTGCTGGTGGTGGTACGGCTGGTCGACATGCTGGAGGACTTAGGTTTTTTGGAAAAGTTAGGGCCTTAGCGGCAAAACCCTGGGCCTTTTATAGGACAAAAACTGCGCACGGACCAGCGAAAATTTTCCTTCGAGTTGTACGGGGTGTACGGTGAACCGAAAATTTTCACTGATGACTAACGCCAATTCCCGGTACTAACGGCTTTTGAAAATTTTCCTGCTGACTGAAGGGCCAAATCCCCGATCCTGACGGCCTTTAAAATTTTTCCTTGGTGACTAACCAACTACCGGTATTAATGGCTTTCGAGGGCTCAAGCCTAAGAGGGGGATACTGTCAAGTCCATGCCGCGGGCCTCCATTCCGCCGTTCGGGATTCCGAAGATCTGCTCCTTATTGTTATCTCACTCTTATTGTTCTTTCTCGCTACACATACCCTTTCGTTCTAGTCCCTTCTTATTGTCTTTTACTCTACCCTGCAGGTACTACTCGTATAGCTCCTAGTAGTTAGTCTGGCGCTCCGCACCGCTGCGCCGATCCGTAGATATAAATACTGCCTGTACGCTACTGTAGTTCCTCAGTTTAATTATCAACTTAGATCTCCCTTCTCAACTTAACTCTTCTCTAAGTCTTCAGGCTCAACGCCTCGAAGTACGTTCTCCTCGACCTTAGGACTTTAACGTTCTCTGGTCCGCTCCTCGTCACCGGCGATACCGCCGCTCCGACCTGGCTGCTACTTAGCTCCTCTCTCTCTACTCTCGCCCTCCGGGGACTAACGGCGTAACGGCGGTGTTGTTAATAACTTCACTACTGTCCCATTCGTCTTCCGCACTTAGACACCCTGTGGCCTTGGCACGGTTACACGGTGTACATGATCTTAACACTTTACTTCGTAACGACTGCTCGGCACTTGTGTCATATCTATCTAAAATCAATGATGCTCATGTACGCTTTTCACATAGATGCCGCGATTTCTGTTCAGCAGCCCCTGTGGGAAAACCCTCGACTCTTGCCGCAACTACAGCATCCGCAACAGATTTTTTGTGGACATGAATTCCTCACCGGAAAGCCTGACAAACCTCACTATATCCCAACGCAGGAGCAGTCGGCTAAATGGCAAAGACCTTTCAGAATCCAATCTAGACCCACCTCAAAATCCAGACCACGGTAGAAGATTCCATTACGTATTGACATCAGTGCAAAATGATCCCACAAAAAATGACCATTTGATACCTACAAGGACCCACTCTTTCAGAGTCAGTGAAGCACAAAAAAAAGTAAAATGCTTTACATGCATGCGTTAATTGTACGTACTCACATTGGTCATTTGCTACTAATCAATCCAATACAGAGCTATGCAAGTCCATTCGTTGGATGCAGCGTCCACTCAACCCATTTCAACCACACCACCACACTTGCGTGAATAGATACTCATCACAAACACTTCAATCTCATTATCATGCTTGACAGTGCTTGGCAATGTTGACTCAGAAGTCAAGATTAGTGGCAATTTGTCCTGATTTGTCGAGTACCAGCTGGGCGGTTGTTTGTTAGGAGATGATGCATGATGTGGGGGGGTACTGGGGTAATGAGGTTAGGTGAGGTGAAGGAATTGAGGGTAATTGTCATGAGATGACCCACAAGGTTGGTGAGGAAGAAGCTGAATTAAATTTGAATCTATTTGAATGAAGAATCCCAATTCTCTGGCTAGGGTCCTAGTGGGGTCGGGGAAGGGTAAGCATTCAATTTGTACTACACAGTCAGAGGAAGAGGGGAGAGGGGAGGAGGTAAGGAACATAGGCTTTCTTGCTTACATGGGGAATAGCATATGCAGGGGGGGTCCAACGTCCAACAGTTCACAGAATTGGCAACCTCTGGAGTCAGCATCGTGCATGTACTCCTCCTCGTTACAAGCCACACGGCTTGGCAACTGAGTACTGAGTACTGAGCGCTGAGCAACCTTGGAAACTTTACAACCTTAGAAAATTTACAACCTTGAAAACCTTCCAACCCTAAAAACCCTCACAACCTTAGCACCACAACCCCAGCACCCTCTGGACTCTGGAGTCTGCAAAGTTTCGCCAAGGTGCATGGTTTTGATCCCCTGTCAATGTCCATTCAAGTTCACTGTCCGTTCACAATGTTCACTGTCCATTCAAGTTCTTGAACACAGGCAACTTGAAGCTTCGGTGCTTTCAGCTTCACCTAGGTACCTGAATCTACCTGAATGGAAAGAACTCTGATAGATCTGTGTGGTAAGTTATAACCCTTTCTCTTCTTCTCTCCCCCCAGTCTCCCATCTTCCCATCTCACCCAACCCATCTCTCCTTCCCACCCCCCGGTCTCCCATCTCCCCCATCTTAGGCAGCTTTGGGGTTCGGACCCGAAAGGTTGGGACTTTGTGCAGGTTTCGCCCTTGCAAAGGGGCTCATCAGAGGGCTTAACCGCTGCCCTAACCCGCTGGTTCTACTTTACAATGATAGATCATGACTCCCTATTCACGGGGTGGAGTATGCCATGTGGTGCCGTCCACATGGTACCCGATCTGATTTGCAACACCGGCATAGCATCGGGGACCACAGCATGTGTGTAGGTATTTTTGGTGTGGGTGATGGATCTGGGGGGCACCCTCCCCATTAAGCCAATATCAGAGTGCCTGCCACACAGCTCTGATGAGAGGCCGGTCCATGGCCACCTGACGTAAGCCAGGTGGACTTCTGTGTCCGTTTATCTATATATAGCCCAAATATAGCCACTTGCCTATATTTGTCAACTAGTCCAGCCGTCTCCGAAGATAAGGCGGAATAAGTCATACAAAGTCTCCTTTTCTCCTTCTCACCCAACCCATCTCTCCCATCTCCGAGTCTAGTACCCCCATCATCCCATCATCCCATCATCCCATCTCACCCAACCCCATCCGACGCCCATCATCCCATCTGATGCACCATCAGCACATCAACGACGATGGCTGCACCAACTGGCAAACAGAGTTTTATGATAGAGAGATTCCATTGCCTAAGATCACTCTGTTGTAGTTCCATGCCAAAGATCACTCTATTCTGGTTCCATGCTAAAGATTCACTCTATTCTGGTCCTACGCTTCCATGCTTTCATGGTTCCATTGCCAATTGAGGACCCATGAATAATTCATGATTACATGATTACAATGTACATATGTTGTATGTATTGTTGTGTATGGTATGTACGGAAAGAACCGGGAAGAAACGGGAAGAGAATGAAGAGAACGACAAAAACGAAGAAATCAAACGAAGAAATCGAAGAAAACGAAGAAAGGAAGAAACGTACGAAAACGCGTACTTGATCAGAAAAGGAAGGGACGATAAAAGGAAAGGACGATAAAAGGCAAGGACGAGAAAAGGGAGGGATGAAAACGTACTTGATCAGAAAAGGCAAGGACGATAGAAGGGAAGGGAAGGACGATAAAAGAGAAAGGACTTAAGAATGAGAATCAAGAGGAAAGAGACGATTCGGTTCGAATATCCCCATTCTGGTCGAGAAATAGAGGAGTAATCCCTATCCCTATCCCGGTTCTGTTGTTCTGTTGTTCTTGTTCTGTTCGAGAAATAGAGGAGTAATCCCTATCCTATCCCGGTTCTGTTGTTCTTGTTCTTGTTCGAGAAATAGAGGAATAATCCCTATCCCTATCCCGGATCTGTTATTCTGTTGTTCTGTTGTTCTGTTGAACCGCACAGCGGTCCGGGGGGGGGGGGGAGAATTCTGCGAATTCTGGGAGACGAGACGAGAACGAGAACGAGAACGAAAACGAATCGAAACGATCGAATGGAATGGAATGGAAAACGAAATCGAAATCGAAACGAAACGAAACGAAATCGAAACGAAACGATCGAATGGAGAAGGGAGGAAGGAAGGAGGAGGGAGGGAGGGAAGGGGGGTAGAGGATAGGATAGGAGAATACACGGGGTGCGAATGTGCGAATGTGCGAAAAACGAAGAAGGAAACGAATCGAAGAAGGAAACGAATCGAAGAAGGGAAGGAACAATGAAACGAGGAAAGGAATCGAACGAACGAACGAAAGAAAAAAAAAAGGATGAACAACCAAAGAACCAAAATTCAACCCGTATCTCCAAAGACCCTTCTATGATCCATCCATCCCCCAATCAATCATCGATCATCAATCAAGTCGTTCCATGAATCGACTCTTCCCATTCCCATTCCCACTTCCTCTTTCCCCCAGTCCTCTTTCCCCCTCACCTCCTCCACCCCCCTCACCCCCCTCACCCACAGTCACCCCACCCCCCTCAGCGACCCCACCCCTTTTAGACTTCCTCCTCGACGACGACGCGGATGCACGTCTGGATACGTTCCCTGCATTAGCCGCATTAGCTACATTAGTTGCATTAGCTGCATTAGCCGTGGTTTCGTCGTCATCGCCGTGTTTAAGTGACTTGCTGGAGACTCGGCTCTTCTTGGAGTGTGTTGATTTCTTGTCGGTCTAGGATGGGGGGGAGGGGTTAGTAAGGTTGGTTGGTAAGGTTGGTGTGAGGATAAGGATAAGGATAAGGGAGAAGATGAGGAGAGGGAAGGGGAGGAAAGGGATGAGGAATCAAAAGGGAGGAAGGAGAGGAGGAAAGGAAGAACAAAAGAGAGAAAAGAACCCAACTCACCGGAAACCCATTCTCACCAACCTCCCCTACACCTCCCGGCATCACCTTGTCTCCCTTGAGATCACTCTCGCCTCTTCCCCCGTGGAGATGTGAATAACTCGGTAACCCCTCGTCGTCTTGTTCCTCGTTGGCGTTGGCGTACACCTCTTCGTCGGAGTGATTGTCAACGTCGTCTTCGGATCCAGACGTTACAGGGTGATGATCCCCTCCACCGCCACCGCCTACAGCGACAGTGTGATACGGGGTGACTCCACCCGTGTCTTCGAATTCACTGTCTTCTTCTTCCTCGTCGTCGGAAGCAGAAGGGGAAGCAGAAAGGGAACGCTCGTCCTCCTCCTCGGGATACCCCACAGCTCTAACAGCCGCCTCCACAGGCCCCGACCTCTCAACCTGCTCCGACGCCACGAGATACCTCGCACACAGCATCTTAATATCATTCCACCACTCCATCATCTCGTCTCTACTTTTCGCTTTAAACGACCACGCGTGGTCCCCTCCCCCTCCCCCTCCTCCTCCCCCACTCCCAGTGTTTGATTTGCGTAAACTAAGACTCCGCCGCACAGACGAAATCGAGGTCCCGCCTTTGGTGGTCCCTGTCCCGTCTTTGGATACCTCGATGTAGAATTTATACGACCCCCCGTTTTTACCCCCGGGGCGATCGTGGGCGTTTGGTGGTCCGAGTGTGCATTCTGGGAGGAATAGACTGAATACGGGTGTCTCTACCCCGTCGGCGTCGACGTTGTCATCCCGAAACTCATGCAAAAACCCCGCGGGAGTCAACACATACCTCGCTTCCCTCCACCTCCTCACATATCTACGTTTCCTCAACAACACCCCCTCGTGCACACCCACCACACACGGGTCGTCCTTACACGGGTACCGGATAAACCTCGGCTCCCTCAACGGTGTGTCCGGATCCAACAAATGATCTGTCCTCGCCGAGAGCGACACCCACTCCACCGTCGGGTCTAACCCCGCAAACGCACCCGCAACACCAGCATGGTGTCTCTCCACATTCGCAGTCATGCGTACCCGCCATTCCTCGTAAGTCGCCCACGCCCCCTGGATGGCTTGCACGATCCCTTCTTCGAACGACGCGCTGTTGGCTTGTGTGATGATCAGTGATTTCTGCAGCAAGTTCTCCGCGTTGACTTGCGTGCGGAGTTGGCGCTGGACAGCTAGATTCGAGATGTATGGATCTTGTTTAGGGTGCGAGGACAGCGCGAGGGGGGTGTTCTTATACGTGCTAATAGACGTGGCCAACGCGCTGATCAACGACGTCGATAATTCGCGTTCGCGGGAAACGGTCGTAGCGAGTTTTCCTGTATCGTTTTGGATGTTCTTGATATGCATCTTCACCTCCCCACGCAATTTCTCCAAATGCCGAACAATACTCCCCTCAATCGTCCTCCCGAACCCTTCATACTCCTCCGCCACACTCCGGATCCCCTCTTCTCTCAGTTTATAAAACACCTCCTGCAATCCCCCTTCTCCTCCAATGAACCCCGCATCCCCTCCACTCCCACCTCCCCCTCCCCCACCACCACCACCACCAAACCCACCAAATCCCCCTCCCCCACCACCCCGAAACGGCACCTGTATGACCCCACCCAACCTAACCATCTCCCGCGCACTATAATGCTGTATCCCCGCCACACCTCTAAAATACAACACCAGCTGCTTCAGCACCCCTTTCCACGCAATGAACCGCGCGATGAGGATGTCCGAGGGGCGCAGGGAGACGGGCGCGGTTTGTTTCCGGATGAGGGATTGGGTGCGGGAGAGCGTGGATCCGGGACCGCCACCGCCACCGTGACTGTGGTTGTTGGTGGGGATTCGCGAGATGGAGGTGGCGCGAGATGGGGCACGGGAAGCTCGAGAAGGTGCTCGAGAAGGTGCTCGGGATGTCGATGTTGTTCGACCGCGTTCTTCGTTCATCGTGGTTGTGGTTTGAGCGTGTTTTGTTATGACGTCACAACGTACGTCGGAATTGCATGACATCATCTCCATCTCCGTACGTTGACTCGTTACGTAACGCGTTAGATAATTTCCATGGAATACTTCAAACTCCGTAAAACCTCATAGAACCTTGTAAAACCTCGTAAAACTCAAACTCCATAAACCCTCGTAAAAACCTCGTAAAAACCTTGTAAAACCTCGTAAAAACCTTGTAAAAACTCTAAAAATTCCGTAAAACCTCGTAAAAACCCAAACTCCATAAATCAGCATAAACCCTCCTCATCTCAATGACATTCCGGTTCCCCATATTCATTCCCCAACCAGAGAGAGAGAGGGGGAAGGGGAGGGGAGGGTCTTGATATCGGGGGTTTTGGGTTCCATTGGTTGTGTCATTAGTATGTAACATAGTACATACATAATACATAATACTCACATAGTATACACTCGGAAAACTCGGAAAACTCGGAAAACTCGGAAAACTCGGAACACCCATCTGTTCTCAGTAGTACACCCATCCATCCTCAGTAGTAAACCCATCCATCCTCAGTAAACCCATTCATCCTCAGTAGTAAACCCATTCATCCTCAGTAAACCCATCCTGTTGAGCAGGCAAGGAGTGCGTAGTGGGAACACTCTCCAGTACCATACCTGGTAGTAGAGCTTAGTGTCTTAGTGAGGCAATAAAAGTAAGAGAGAAGCGAGTTGGATTCCAGTACAGGATATGGCCTGTTTATATACATAACTGTATGACAGTATTACATAAGGAAGTACTGAGGAATCCGCATATAGTAAATAACTAGATATGACTACATATGACATATTATAACACATGATCATAATAGTGGCATGTGAACAGCATAGCCGCGTTCAACACATCCATCCTCAGTAAACCCATCCATCCTCAGTAGTAAACACATCCATCCATCCTCAGTTTTAATTCTGAAAAAAAAAAACAAAAAACTTGGTGTATCTATTATATCATTCTATGGTGTACTTGATATCATTGATATTTATGATATTTATGATTATTGGGTGATTAGTGGGTGGATATTGGGTGATTATTGGGTGAATATTGGGTGATTATTGGGTGAATATCAGGTGATTATCAACTGACAAGGCACAAAACCAACTCTCCTTCATTCATTTATTCATTCTTTCTTTCTTTCGAGTTCATTTATTAAATAAATGATTCTCATCATTCATCTACGTACAATAAGTAGTACTGAGCAGTAATAGTACACACAGCGGACCCCATCCCATGTTGGCCGTCAAAAAAATGTTTTCCACATCACGACTCTTTAACACACACATTTAATACACCTTCAAACCCTCATACATAGTGACAAGACCGTGCCTACAGGTCAATAGCTATAGAGGTTCTGAGGCCGGATCTGGCCCAGGAATGGCCTGGGATAATTCCGAGGTCCGGAACTGAGTACTGGCCTGTAGTACACACTGGGAGTGGGACGTCGGTGAAGCTATTAGCAACACCCTTCACACACTGTTGGTGTCCCCGGGAATTATGGCAAGAGTGCAAGATTGGGATGAGCAGCCTAAATGGGGTTCCTGATGATCCGGGAGTCCGGAAGCAAAGGGTAAAGAAGATATTAAAGACTGGGATAAGATGGTACACTTGATTTCAAGCTTAACTTCAACGTACAAAGTATTCTAGCTTATATACATCCCAAATACAGTCAGAAGACCTCGATGAAAGCTCGGGACAATGAATAAATGAAATAATAGTCACAAGGTTATTATTCCGAAGTCCAGAAGGATCGTCAGATGAATTGCATGCATATGACACATACTTGAACTGTCATTATTTGGGTGTAGTCTGGGTCTGGTATAAATAACCCTACTTAACAAACAGGTAGTAGACTTTTATCTGAAGCTAGTCCCAGAGATGGGTAAACTGACCAACTCATGGTAGTATGGGTATAGTTATAAGGTCCCTTCAACTATCAGACTGATTCAGTAATGACTTTGACTGTAAATCTGGATCTCAATTACAGTCCTCTTGATCCAAATCTATACATGAAAATGTCACAATTCACTGTATAGTAAACATCTAGCCAAAATTTGGCATGTCACTGCTGCTCCAACTTGGCTGCTCCTGGTTACCTCTTCTCTACTCTCAATCTCCGGGGACTAGCGGCATAATGGCAGTGTTGTTAATAACTTCACTACTGTCCCATTTGACCTTCCGCCCTTAGACACCAAACGGCCCTTGACACAGCTTTCCAGTGTACATGATCTTAACAATGACACCCACCTGTAGATCATGCTCAAATGCAAAATGAGCAATGTCTTATCATGAATAACCTGGGTGATCCACCTATCCTGAGGCCACAAAATTGTGTTGAAATGATCAGGATTTTGCTCTACAGGTATCTATGCACATGTCTTAGTAGAATATACAATATCAAGTCCTCAAGTGCTGTTATTCTTGACTTGTGAGTTTTTTTGAGAATGTTGAGATTCATTAAAAATTGTGAATTTTATGATTTCACACACCAAAAACCTATAGGCTTTCTCAATTCTGAATATAAGACTTAGGCTTTTTGGGTAGGTCTACCTACAAGGGTACTTTACAGGGCCCATGTTCTCAATAAGCTGTATTTGGGCTGGGTTGTTGAGATAAAAAGTGCTCAAGGATTGTCACTCTGAAAGTCACTAAAAAGCATGTGATGTGCATCGAAACTGAACTGTATTTTTTTAGTACATCCTCTCAGAGCCTCTCAGTTTGAAACCGTGGGAATGTCATAGCAGATGGATGTAAGAGATCAAAGTTCGGCGTATACCAGTGTAATCATAATACGCAAAAGAGATCTCAATAAGCGCCCGTCCTCTCCCCCCAACCACCACCACCAATACCAATGCATCGCCTAAACGGCGTCGGCCTCGCCGCCCTCGATCGGCACACCACCACCAACAACTCCTACACCACCCTCTCCACCACCCTCTCCCACGCCCAAATCACCCACCTCCAGGCCCAACTCACCCTCTTCCGCACCGCCCTCACCGCCTTCGCCGCAAAACACCGGACTGCAATACTCGACTCGCCGTCGTTCAGACATAAGTTCACACAGATGTGTTCAAGTATTGGAGTTGATCCCCTTGCTGGTCCGCGTAGAGGCGGGTGGTGGGCGGAGGTAATACCGTGGGTGGGGGATTGGGAATATGAATTGGGGGTACAAATCGTGGATGTGTGTGTTTCCACCAGGGAACGCAACGGTGGTATGATCGAGGTTGCTGATTTGTGTAGACTCCTAAACAAGCTACGCGGTTCTCCTTCCCCTTCCCCTTCTTCCTCCTCCTCTTCAAATTCTTCTCCCCCTTCCTCTAATTCCTCCCCGGTAACAGAACCCGACATCCTCCGCTCCGTCAAAACCCTGCACCCCCTCGGCGCTGGATACACCGTCCTCACCCTCTCCGACGGGCGGAAATACGTACGGAGCGTCCCGAAGGAGTTGGATCAGGACCAGGCGGTAATTTTGGCGTTTGCGAGAGGGTCTGGGAGGTCTGGGAGGGTTAGTGTTGGGGATCTGGTTCGTGGTAGTTCTGCTACCTCTAGCACTTCTACTTCCGATGACTCCGTCTCTACCACCCTCGGCTGGACACGCGCACGCGCTACGGCTGCGCTGGAGAACATGCTACTCCGGGACGGCCTGTGTTGGGTCGACGAGCAGGATAGGGAGGCAGAGAGGGTGTATTGGGTTACGAGTGCGATGAGGTGGGATTGATGGGTTAGGATTGAGATGAGGTGGGACTGATGAAGTAGGACAGATGGATGGCATGGCATGGAATGGGGAATCAGTTAATTACAAGTCAAGTCTTGAATGATGTACATCGTACCATCGGGTTTTTTTCTTCAGGTGTTCCACCCACAAGGTTCTTAGATTCATATTCGAACGCAAACACAAACAGCACGAAATACTTCAAAATAGAAATACGCGACCCCAATCATCCCGGAAACTCATCGAAGACGAAGACGACTTGAGATGAAATACGAGTGTGATCATTGATGCAGATGTGCGATGAAGTGGGATTTATAGTAGGATTTATAGTAAGCTGGATGGAAAGGAATAGGGAATCCTTTGAATACAGTCTTGAATGTGGTACGTTGTACCTTCGGATTTTTTTATCAAGGTGTTCCACCCACAAGGTTCTTAGATTCATATTCATATTCGAACACAAACACAAACACAAATACCACAAGATAGAAATACGCACTCCTCCTTGTCGATGCATCTTCTTCAGGCGTCATCGCGTCATCCCTCATCCCTTAGGCTTTCATACATAGAGGAACTTGTTGATGTGATCTTAACACCTAATTAATACCTTGCTTGGATGATATCATTATCCACCTCTGAAAAACACTCCATCATAAACCCTTGTGTGTCTAACCCCCTCCTATGCAAACTTTTCTTCTACTACTGCTCCCCTCTGTGAATTCAGAATGCAATATTCCTCTTGACCCTGCTTTACTCATCAGTTTCAGAAATGGAAGATGACAGTCCTAAATCATTGCATTGTGTATTGCATTGCAGTGGATCGTAGTAGACAAATGATGGACTGGATAAAAGTGTAGAGTATTGGTGGTGGAACCAGTGGAAGACTGTGTCAAAACTGGAATGCCCATGATACAATGTATGCACTGACTAGTAGCACAGAAGCATCTGCAAAACCTGTATTTCTGGCTAAGGGTCTGAAAGTGGTTGAGAGCACTTCCCAGCAGTGAAAGCACCCAGAGCATGTTGCTTTCAGTGCTTTCAGCACTGGGATCTACTCTCAGCCCTGAGCCAAATATCCAGGTTTTGCAGATGAATGTAGTGACTACAATGTGAAGCATCCAGGCCCAAGCAAGGTGCTGTCCATGACAGTGGAGCCTAGTTGCAGTGGTTTTGATGTTTCAAAGCTGGGACAAGATATCTACATTCTCTGCAGTCACACCTTCGATATTGTCCCCAAGTCCTCCATCCAATGATATAGCCTCATAGTGGAATAGCAGAAAGTTGTTATACATCCTTTAGCACTGCGCCCCGCATGGCAGTCCCCAACTCTGAAAGTGAATATTTTAGTTGAATATGAAACCTGATTTCCCTTTCTAGAAAGTGTGCTTGAGGAAGAGACCCACATAATAGCCTGGCAGCATAAGCAGTTATGTCCAGGGTACATCTATACAATAGACTACCTCTCTCCCATTGCCATGTTCAGAGTGTTTCCCTTATGGTAAAATGCATGGTGAAATCTTCTAAGTAAACCATATAAGGCTTATTTCCTCATCAGATTAGCCTTATTGAACCCAACAATGTGTGTTACACTTGAGATGGATGTTAAGCTCACCCTGGAATAGCTCTGAGCCTGTCTGAGCAGTGCACCGGAAACCCCAAAAGCACAGCACATTTGCATCAGGCTGAAAAATGCTACAAACCTGTGTGCCGGAACCCCCTAAAGGCACTGCACATTTGTGTCAATATGTAGGACAGTACCATCACAAAAACTCATGACTTTTGATTGACATTTGGTGCGAACAAGGACCTCCTCTTTCAGAGTCGGTGATAGGCAATGGGGGTCTCGGCAATCACTAAATAACAGGTTTTCTTTCTATATAAATAAGCCTTCCCCCTCAAGTGTCTTTCATACCATGGCTCTGCCTCCCAAGGTCCAACTCCGATTCAGCGAAAAACTAGGCTTGAACCTTGTCTTGCTCCAAATCCGTGAGTTATCTGGCATGCTGATCTCGAAGCAAGAATGCTTATCATAGTCCATTAGCTTTTCTCTTGCTTTACACACTCCTTGTTAGTCGTTGGTCCAAAAACAACAAAGGAAAACCCATAAATCGGCTTTTGTTTGACAGGACTGCACGATTTGTCCTAGAAAACCTCTCTGTCCGTCAACTCCCAGCTGCTTCTCCTACCTCGGAGGAAATGTACTTCAAGTGGATAAGTGAGCAGAAGTTGAAGCCAGTCATTGATAAACTCATACTAGATGCAAGTCTCATGTGGGTTGGGAAAGAGGGAATGAATTATGCAATGATTTACTGTCATGGTCAGCACATACCCATATCTTGTTTCTCTGCATTGACCAAGCAAATTCACCAATCTCTAAACCACAGGAGGCGGCTATATAGGCCCTCTCTCTGATTTTCAAATTGAGTTCTGGCACCGTCTTCAAGTCTCCTTGCAAAGTCAAGAACCAGGAGTGCAGCTAGGCGTTGCTGTGCTAGACTATTGTAAGTGATCATGACTCTTGGACCCACCAATGATGGTCTGTTGATGGAGCATCAGCTTTATACCCTGCCGGCTTTCCGACCCAGCTACACCAGTTAATTTCTGCAATTACCCAAATCATATCTTCTGGTCTTCCACCATCCCATATCTTTCTTGCTGGAGATTCCGCCGGAGCCAATATCATCATCCAGCTCATCGGTCATCTCCTTCATCCATCTCCCCAAATCACTGAACATTTGGAGCTTCCACGAGGTGGTCACGGTGGATTTGCTGG